GAGCTGCAGATTCTCTTAATATTCCTCCAGAGTTGTGATAGCTTGGTCACAGAGCCATACTTACCCTAGGATGATTGCAGGTGACTTTTTGTCTAACATGGCAGCAGCCTTCTCTGGTCTGGGTGCTGTGAGGGAAGATTAGTGAAAACATCCTTGACGATTGATGCAATCTCGGTAAATTCCAGGGCCAAACATCCCTCCCCTGGAATTCTGTTGCATCATCATATCATTGAGGGTGACTCAGTCAGATTAGCCTTGTGCACACGAGGAATGTAAGAGAATGACTGTAAGTGTCAAGGTAGCGTGCGTGCTTCAATGCTTGTCTAATTTCCGATAATCAAACATCATGTATCGAAATGTTTCACTTCCTTGTATCACCTTGACATTTTCTTGTAATTAATTATAATAATATTAAGAATAATGTTATTATTGATTACGAAAAGCCAAATACCAATTGTTTACATCTTGATGAGAATCTTATGATTACCCAGCAAGATCTGCTCCGTGCTTTGATTTAAATGACATATCAATGCAAATTAAAAAAAAGTTACCTCTAGTTGATTATTAACATGTTTCTTTTTAGAGCCCAATCATGCCAAATAACATCACTCACGTTTTGTCATCTGTCAAAAAATAAATTGTTTTTCCAAAAAAAATCAATCGCGTCTGTCCTACCAAAAAAAAACCAATTGGATAAATAATTAATGTGTACGCATCGATCAAATCACAAACTTCTTTTTTCTTTATTTTTTTCTGCAAAAATGCCATGTAATAAAATTAATAATAAAAGAAGTCGCGAAGACCATCATAACCAAGAGAATATTCACGGGTAAGTGTTGTTTATTGTAAAAATGGTGGTGGTGGTTATCGCCGCTCGGCACTATACTATATAGTTGTTTTTTTTAAAAAATAGTGATTGATATTACAGCAACTCATCATTCTATATATAACTTTACAACATTATATTTAATCAACAAATACCATATAGTAATAATAATGACAGTTTATTTAAAAATCAAAAAGACAAAAAAGAGAACGAATCAATAGAAGCCGAAAATATTCCCATGTAAGGCTGCTTTCAATATCATTTTTAGTAGTTTGGCAATTTGACGATTTAACAATTTATGTGTTAACACTTCTAGTGTTGTTGACAATGAAGTACTTGAATCATTAATGAAAGAAATGATTGTGGGCTCCGTTAAATACATGATTGGCTCGTTTGATGTTGAAAAAGCGTTGGTAGAGTGGAAGGAAAAAAAGGAACGGCCTTGCAATGAGTACGTTTTTAATAATATTGTCATGTATAATTTATATGCGTATTAATATTGACCAACAATTTCTACAATAATAGTTTAGCGTATTATGATATTCTAGATATAACACCAGGAAGCAACGGTAAATTTATAAAAGAACTACCATCTCATATAAAAACCATTATCTTTAATCACGAAAAAAGTCCTTTAATTTTGATAATAATGATATTAAGTCTATGGCATCAGATATGATTAGAGTATATATATAACACTGTCTAACAAAGATTTTTGCTGTTATTTTTAAAAGAAACTCAAAAATAATCTGGTTAACATGTTTCATATATTCATTAGATTAGCGATTTTAAAAGGGCCGTTAATGAATATTTTATATTAACAAGAGAAGATTCTTCCAAAAAATATTTATGGGACTATTCATATTTACTGTAAGTGTATCTATTTGTATTAAAAAAAATTTAGTATCATTATTAAATTATTATTTTTTTTTCCAATAGATTAAATTCAATTGAAAGAGATAATGAATTATTGAAAGATAGTTTATCAGAAAGGCACTACAGAGAATCCTTTTTTACTACAATGATGTCTAGTTTATTTCATGATTATACTCAAGATATGGCAACATTTTAGTAAGTAATCATATGCTATGTTAGAATTTATTTTAAAAGTTGTTCATTGCACTAATGGATAACACCTATTATTTAAGCAGAGAAAAGTGTCTTTTTGCATCAGCAGAAGATTACGGTTTAAAGAAAGATGATAGTGAAACCCAAAGCACTGGACGAAAAATAGACATAGTTTGGTGTATTGAACCAATCAAATTAGAATTTGCCATAGGAGAAATCAGCAGTTCGCCTAATCAGAGGTGTCACTCACATTTCTTTGATGATAAATTAAAAATTGCAAAGATGTTGAAAGTGATGCTTAACAAAATAGTAAGGACATACGGCGGTAATAGTTCCATGCTAAATCATTTAAATTTGTATGGAGTACAAGCTTATAGTAAGTATTTCATCATTAATAGTATTCTTGTTCTGATTTAAAAAAATTTTTTTTCAATGTCATTCTTCAACTATTAACTCTTAAATGAAATTGACAGATCATAATGTATTCCTGTACAAATTATCGATTCTGTACAAAAATCTGTATTTATTTTGAGAAATAAAAAGAATAGCATTACTGACATCGATTATCAATATATCTTTATTAAAAAATTGTTTCGAGTTTTCTGGATCTCAAGGTACAAAAATTACTTTTTTGAAAAAAAAAAACAAAATAAAAATAAATTGAATTTTTACCAATACTTAATTATCACTAGTACTTACTTAATTATCTCCAGTATATTATAAATAAAAGCTGATTAGATATAAACAAATATATACTTGAATCGGGATTGAGAACTCCAGATGATGAGGGTAAATCTAGCCTATTTATCACACCAATGAAACGTAAAAAAATATTATCAACCCAAAATCAAAATAATATGTAATTTGATAATCAGAGAATTAGATGGCAAATTATTTGAAATAAATACTAGATTGAATGGTGAACTATTATGTAAAGGTTGGTTGCTGTGAATTTTTTTGATTAATAAAAACAAAGTTAATAATTCTAATTCAATTTTTTCATTAATTTAAAATTGTTTTATTCAGCAAAAAGTCCTTCTTCTGAATGGTATTACCAACTATATTATTAATAAATAAATAAATAGTTATATATATTAACATTACATTATAATTAGCAAGGATATATATATATAATATTATTTATGTTTAAAGAAAAATTTTCAAACTAAAAAAATTTTTTTTTTAAACATTGACTAAACAAATAAAATGTCCACTGAATTAAAAAAATTTTATTTTACCATTACTGTGTAGATAACGTCGTTTGTTACACACAATTCAAAGGATTACTCTTACCAGTGAGTTTTTTTTTTTTTTTTTTTTGCCTTATAAAATATATAAATATATAATAAATAATATAATATAAAAAATAAAATTAGAACAAATTTGCCTAAACAATAATAATAGAAACTAGTAATCATAACTAAAATCGATTACTGCGATTACTGGTGTTCCTAAGATTAATAGAAATAGCAGTGATCGTTCAGTAGTAAAAATCTAATAACTAATGATTAAATAGATAGAAAGATATTAGAAAGTTAGAAAAACTAATTTTTATTTGCTCTCTCTATGTGTGTGTGTGTGTTTATTTTACATTTATTTCTTAGTAAACTACTCTTACTTAGAGGCTTCTTAGGTAGAGTTAATTAAATTTTTATGGTAGTGAATGAAACTGAAATTAATGCAATTAATACAATAAGTGAAGTGAAAGGATATCTTACTTATAATAGTCAACCATTAGAAGAGAGGAAATAGCCAAGTTTCAAGAGAAATCAGAAAAGTGAGGTAAAAGACAAAAACAAGAGTTGTTAGATAAGATTAGACAACAAGAAGCAGAAATGATTAAATTGACTCAGAAATTGAACAATTGAAAACTTTAGCCCCTCAAGAGTTAGTCAATAAGTTAAATGCTTATGAGGCAGAGAATGAGAAATGAAAGAACCAGTTAGAACAATTACAGCAGAATGGTCAACTAACTGCATAAATCAAGATTAAAGAAACTAAATGACCTTGATTGAAAATTAAAAATTAACAAAGTTGAAAAAAAATGTAATTATTTGTTTTAGTTATTCTGCCAGTTTTCTTTTTTTTCTTGATTCTTTACTAGAATTTTCTAATACTCTTTTGAAAACTCTTTCCTCTTGATAAATTTCATAGATAATCCTTTCTTTGTCTAAATATGTTTGCAAAGATTTGGTGTCTGCTAATTTAAAAATGTAAGGAGCAATTTTTTCACCTTGTTCCTTCTTCAAAATACTTCTAATGGTGCTATAATTCTTGGGTTCCATAGTAGATCTGATATAGATGAGTTTCATCTTAACTATTTTTATACAGGGATAGTTCTATATATCACTTAAGATAACAAATGGAAGATTTTAATAATCACGTTACTAAATTTTGATCCCTGAAATTCTTGGTAATACCAATGTTCACTTTGTCTGGTTTTGTTGCAGTATACCCCATTTACAAATTAAAATAATATGTCTCAAGTCTATTCCCCAAAAGGAAAAGTATCAACTGCAAAACTAGTTTATCATAAAGCAGGTTGTAATTTCCAAATTGGTAAATGGGCTTCTTCCAGCTGAAGTTGTATTAAACTGTTTTCGAGTTGGATGTCTTCACTTACCTCTTAATATTAATATTAGCATATACAGTGTGTTAAGAAAAAAATGGCGGTGACAAAAAATTGCATATCTCAACAATTACATAACATAATCAAATAAATTTAGATTCGTTTGAAAGTTTATCAAATTACCTTGTTAAATAAAAAAAATAGACATGATATGCTATTGCCAATTTTCTGTAAAGCTAATTCATATCTTTTTTTTAAAACTTTGCAAAATTTTTGTCTCTGAAATTTTAACACATAAATTTTTAATAATAAGCCTGACACAAAAATATACATAATAATCATACAAAAAATTATACCGGTGTGTAATGAAAGTTCTGGAGATTATATATATAAACTTTCATACTTCCAGATTTTCTAGAATTTTGTCAATTGGAAATAAAAGGAATTTGATTATTTTGAAAAAAACAATTTAATGTGTAAATTTCTTTAATAATTGCTCTAAAGCCTACATAATAACATGCTTCAAAAATTTCATATGTTATAATCTAAGATCCTCCGATTCTCTGTTATAATTTTCATCATATAATTTTGGCTACTTTTCATTAAAAACAATATTTTTACCAACCGCCGTTTTTTTCTTAACACCCTGTATATCTAATAAAATAGAAACAATTAAAGGCGAACAATTTGCTACAACAAATTACATATAATGGCATCTTTTGTTTTTAAATTATTATATAAATAAATAAATAATTTTTATTATAACATATTACTTGTTGATTTATACATAATTTTTTATATTATATAAATCATCATCATTACTGCCATTATTCAATTATAGTCATTATTTTTTATAAAACCAACTACCCTTTTCTCTATATTTATCATCCAAGTGATATTTATTATCAATTAATTTTTCTAAACTAAGAAACAATTGATCATCATCATGCCATTCAAAATATTGAAGATCGGATTTAATTCCATTCTTAACTTTATCACGTTGTTTCTGTTCAATATCACCCTAACAAAATAGCAAAAAAATTATCATTGTTATTATTGTTTATGATATATAATAAATATAATTTTTTTCTCTTACTTACTTTTAATTTTGAAGCAGTAGCAAAATCACCTTCATTAATAGCTTTAGCTACATAATTCCACAACCTCCTACTTTCTAAATCACCTTGTTCATCTATTGGGGTTACAATTGGAGTCGCCCTTTTAGAATCTTCAACATCAAAAAATGTCGACTTTTCTTTTGTGTCCCCTTTCTCTAAACTAGATAGACCTGCCCATGTACCTGTTATTACATGTAATGATTCTTTGGATCCGTTACGACGCACTACTCCATTAAAACTATGTTTTTCGCCTGATATCCATCCTTTCCCACTAAACTCAATAACAACATTATAGTTTTCTGATTGTATTACACTTGTTCCACTATACACAAGTATATAGTAAAATTTATAAATGTGGCGAGTGTATAAGTATAATTGATTATAACTAAGTGGTTTGGTTATTTTTATTTTTATCTCACTTTGTAAATATAAGAATATATTTTTATTACCTTATTTCTACATATGGAGACCCTCTCCATAATCCAAGAATTTGTAAAGATGGAAGAGTTATCAAATAATGTTCAGGATGATCTCTTAGGCGAATCAGTATATGTCCAACTTGTATTACATCTATACGTGCTGCTGTAGGCCTAAAGTTAGTTTTTTGTCCAGCTTTTTTATTTAATAGTCAAAATATTAAGTGTTTAGAATAATGTATTTTTCATTCATATATATATATATACACACATATACTACATACTATGACCGCTTGCGAATACTCCTGCTTTTTTATTTTCTAAATAAAAGGCTGAAACAGGTGGATGATGACTAACTTGTTCTGAAAACAAACTAGTTTCGCCACATCCATCTATATCATTCCATCTTGCAAAGAATTGTTCGCCTTGTTTATTATCATCATTATTAAATAGGATTAGAATTAGAATTAGAACTAGAATTAAAGTCGAAAGTTGAGATATCTCAATGGGGAAAATATAATAATGAAAATATTACCTTACCAAGTATAGGGTTAAATGGTTTTTTCTCAATTTTTTCTTTGTCTTTACGTGAAGCAAATGATCCGTACAATGTACTTACATACCATTTGAAAACATTAATAATTCTATCAACCTCTTTACTTGGTTTAGAAATATTAGCAAAAACTTCTGGATAATCTCCCCAATATTGTCTATACATTCATCAATGCATATACATATATTATTAATGTGACGGAAATTATTTTATATATTTTATTTATTACATAATGATAAAAAGTTCTTCCTACCCGTATTCTAGAGTGGAAACTCCAGATAATAAGAAACTTGGGCATGTCAAACTATAAATATCTCCGGTAAATGTTGATAGAGTCTTTAGAAATCCACTAAGTTCAGTTCTTTTGCTCTCAGAGGTTATAATATCTGTTACAATCTCTCCATTATTAGAATTATCAATACTCATATTGTAAATTTATAATTTATACAAAGAATTTTTTTTTAAAAAATATTTTTACTTTCTATTTATATAATTTTTTTTCATTACACTAACTCATTTTGTCAAAAATACTTCTATAAATATATGTAACATTAATTGCATTGGTTTTAACTACATTTAGCGCGGAGCACGATCTTTATCTCTGAAAGAATTTATAACTAAATATGGAATTGAAATTTAATTTAATAGAGTATTGGGCAAGAACTTCTTTTGATTGACTAATTTGATTTTCACATATTAATATGACATATATAAATTATTTTTTTGCAGAAATATTGTTCTGATTATCTGGTTTATTTTGAGTTCGTACGTATATTTGATCAATTCAATTGACAAATATAATTTCATTCATTGTTTTAAAAATTCAGGGTGGTGCTAACCAAATATAGAAAATAACTGCAACACTATAAGAAATTTAATTAAGAAGACCGTTATAGAGTAGGGTTTTTATATAGTAAAAAACCAGGATCCAATTTCCAGTTCGTTATTATTATAGAATGTAGGCCGTTATAGAAAAGGCCGTTATAAAGGGAGTGTACTATATATATAATATATAAATAGCTGAGCAATTTACATACACTTTATATCGTAGTATGATTCTGAAGAGCATGTAGTAGAATCATATATAGTAGTAATAATAGTGATAATAAACTAATTAAATAAATAAATTAATTTTGAAATGTTTATTGTGATTTTTCAATTGGAAATATAAGAGAAAAAAAATCCAATATTTAAATTATGGTTCATGTTCAAAAATTTAAGGCTACATCTACATAATTATCAATTTGCTCTACTAAAGCTTCAACTTCTTGTTGAATAGATTTGGTTTGAGCCAATGGCAAGTGTGATGAAACTACCTGCCTATTGAACAAGAATGATTCACTGGAAATATCTGATACTTCCTTACTAAATGCTGCCCATAAAGTTGTATCAATTCCTTGATCAATAGATTTTAATTGATTTTTAAAATTGTTGTAAAAGTTTTCCATTGATGTGCTGACACCGGGAGTATCAACCCGTCCTAGATACATCACCAAAAATTTTATTCCTGTGGTAGATTCTGGATATTGTTTTGGCCAATAATCTGTTAGCTCTACTCGTTGTCTAAAGAAAAAATTTATTATTATTGAAATGATGAATTGTTAAAGTGTAATAGATGTGGTAGATTGCAAAATAAGTTAGATTATGATATTGTTACTGGTAAGAATGTTTGCTACTGTATTAGAAACAATGAAGATTTAGAAGAGAAGGAACTTCCTCTCT